GGATAAAAATGGTTCAATATGTGTAAGCTAATAAATGAAAAAAATATATAAATGTATTTAAAGAAAAAAAGCATGATTGTCTCATTAGATGCAGAAAAAGCCTTTGACAAAACCCAACATGTTGCATGATAAAAATCCTAGAGAAGATAGTACTTGGAACATAACAGCATAATAAAGGCTACATATGACAAACCTATGTTCAGTATTATCCTAAATGGAGAAAAACAAAACAAAACTCAAAGCAATCCCATAAAAACAGGAACAAGGCAGGAATGTGTGAGAGCCCACAGTGACTCCAGCTTGTGGCTTGATGCCATCTTGACTCGAGGTCAGAGAGTTCAATCTTATCTTTGCCCCTTAAGGCTGGATAACAGGATGTTTGGCCGAAGGTGTGGTTACCAGATGTCTTGAAAATTTAGGAGGTGTTACTTTGTTACTTGAACCATGGTGTCCTTGAGAGGGGGAGGTCTTTTGCCCCCCTTGCTTTGGGTATAAAAAGCCTGTGAGAAATAAACTCAGGGCTACTGTGGTTGTTGACTCAGCCATCTCAAAGCTATCCTATGTCTCTGTCTTTTGTCTTTTTTTTTTTTTTACATTTATGTCTCTATTTTTCCTATTATTTCTCAATTCTCATTCCCCTATTCAGGACTGTTTGACAGGTTGGGTGGGACCTGGCAGGAATGTCCATCATTCCTACCCCCTTTGTAACATGAAACAAATATATCTGAGAGAGGGTAGAAGATCTGCTGAGCTGCTTCCTGAATAAATAGGAAATTTAGAATGAAGAGTTGAAGGTAGTTATGGCTATCAAACCAGTTTCAAAATGAGGATTGTAATTAAAATTAAAAAAAAAATTGTATGAGTATTTTGCCAGCATGTATGTCTGTGTAACATATGCATGGCTGGTGTGCAAGGTCAGAGAGTGTTAGATTACCCAGGGACTCGAGTTACAGATGGTTGGGAGCTGCCATGTAAGTGCTGGGAATTAGATCCAGGTCCTCTGGGAGAGTAGCCACTGCCTTTAATGCTCAGCAATCACCCCAGACGCATATTTATTATAGCTCCATTGACTAAATCAAGGAAGGAACCAAGTTGTTTAACAAATAATGAGTGGGTAATGAAAACCTGGTGCATATGTAAAATTGTAAATTATTCAGCTCTAAAGAACAATGAAATCACAAAATTTGAAGGAAAATGGATGGACTTAGAATGTATAATATTAAGCAAGGTCACTTACCTCGGAAGGAAAAAAAAAGACACATGTTCTATTTCATATACAGATCCTAGCCTATTACACACACACACACACACACACACACACACACACACACACACACACACTATAGTAATATTAACAGCAAAGAAAACAAGACAGGGTAATAAAAAGACAAAATGCTTATTGATGAGTTCATATACACAATGCAGTTTAAGTTCTTGGAATAATCTTCCAAGGTACAATATGTTCTGAATGTAAAGTAAGTCATTAAATGGGTAGTGTCCCCATGTGATCCCTTGAGGGACTGTTATTTTATAGTAACAGCCTAAATTTCAATTTGTGTTTTTCAATTTGATTATTCTTGTAGGTTATATATAGTTCCTCGTAAGTACTTAAGATTGCTGAAAATGTTTAAAATATAATTTTGATAACCATATTTTAGAATACTGATTTATTGTCCCCAAATTTAAAAAAAGTAGAAGGCAGAAATCTGAGAACATTGAGAAATGTGGCTTTTCACTGGATCTTGTAATTATAAATTACATCACTGCTGATGAATAAACATACTTTTTAAATAAAAAAATCAAAAATTTTGAATAATGTGTCAAATATCACTGGCATGTTAAGAAAAAGATGAAAGACTAACTGGCCATTACATTGAACAGTATGACAATTACTGAAGATGTACAAGAGTAACTTTAGACTTCTTTTGTGATAATGATGAAATCTTCATATGAATTCAACTGAGAGTTGGTGTTTGAGACCAGAAACATATACTGTGAATATTGTTCTTGTTGTTGGCATAGGTGTGCATGCATGTGGTATGGAGGCCAGAAGGTAACCTAGGTGTAGTCCTCAGAAAATGCTTTGATTCCTTTGAGATTGGATGTCTCATTGGCTCAGAAATACTTCCGATTCTGCCTCCCTAGCACTATGTGTCACTATGCACAACACTTTCCACTTGGGTTCTGGGATCAAACTCAGTATCTTTTTAATAAAGGATTCAAGCCACCCTTTAAATATTATAGAATATATCAGAAGAAATACACACTTGATAAATTCAGCTAATAGCAAACTCTTCACAAGAAATAGGTAGAAAAATAAATAGGAAAATAAATACATAGATTAAAATAGAAGAAAATGAAATTGATGAAAAGTATGTCTATCATGATTTTTATTGCACTTATTTTATTTAATAAACACTGTTAGGATGCTAAAACTGTGTTAGATTGTTGTATAGTAGTTTTCTCAACATGAACCTATAACTCTGAGGGGAAAAACACTTTAGGACAAGGTTGCTTTAAAGGGAAGTGAAATGTTCCATACTGTGGGGAAGCTCATTAAGTTTGGGACATGAACTCAAAATAAATTGAGAAAGTCCCTGAAAAATGACCAGACTCATTAGGCCCTCCTCCAGCATGAGTAAGGTGTAAGAACTGCTTAAAGACACTCTGAGACAAGTGAGCTTCCCAGATTATTCCCAGACAAGATGAGCTACCTGAAAGAGGCAAAGACCAGCCTAGATGACTAGAATAGGATCAGACTACCTGAGCTACCTGAAAAGGATATTCTCAAATCTGTTGGATTGTCTGCCTTCAAGTTGTGTAGTGTACTCCAGGTTTCCAATTTTCATGAGCTATTGTCAATGATGAGGTGGGGTTGGGTGATACTGCTTTGAGTCATTTCTGTCCCTCTAAATAACCTTCCCCATATATTTTTGTTAATAAGCACAATAAAATTCATTGGTTCGCAATGTTGGACTTTAGTGGTATCCATACTTTGATCTGCCATCAATCAATTCTCTATCAAGTGTAAACAGATATTTGAACTTAAATGAGGTCACTAAGAAAATGAGTAGGTAGAAGTAGAGAAACAAAGAGACTGAGGCCTGGGACACTTAAAATATTAATTAGGAAGAGAAGGAATCAGCAAGGAAACAGATTCAGTCATGATTCACTGAGGCAGAAGTGTTGTCTTCTGTAAGTGAAATATGTATCAAATATTAATAAGACCTTTAGCAATTCATGCTATACATATGTTCATAGGAAAGCTTACACACATTCACAGCATTTTCAGTATCCCATATTGGAAATAATCCAAATGCATCAATTAGATGGATAAACAAAACCTAGTCCATTTTTAGATGAGTTCTATAATCAATCGTGTTAACACTGTTGGATTGTCTAGATTAAGACTTTCTTACTCCCTAAATAATTGAATACAAACTACCTTGTTATGTAGCTTACTTTATCTAGAAATATTTAAGATATAGAAGTGGTTGTGGTGAGATAATATATAAACATTATGCCATTTTATGTCCAAGACTTAGACAAACGGATTTTGATATCCTTGGGGTATTTGGGAACAAATCTTCCAGATACTAATATTCCATACAATGGAATACTGATAGGCAATAAAGGCAAAGTATAAATATATGTTAGGATATGAATACACCCTGCATATATTTGGCCAAGGGATAATTACAAAAGAAAATATATTGTATGATTCCATGTACATGAAATGCTCACACATGGCAGTTTTTATTGAAGCAGGATGTTGCACAGGTGAAGATAAAGAGCAGGATGACAGCTAATAGCTACAGAATTTATGTGGGGGGAGTCAGTGTTCTGAAATTACTGATGCTTTCACCCTACTGAGTGTAACTTAAAGGGGTAAGTTTTATGGTATGCAAATTATACTTCAATAAAACTATTACTACAAAAAGCAGCAGAATCTAATTGATGTATTAATATTTCTGTTTATGTTTTCTTCTTGTTGTCCTTTCAGTTTGGGATCTTATTTTCAGAGATTTGTTGATTTTTTTAAACTAGCTAATCTTAATTTTTTATTCTCCATCCATTAACTATATTTTCTAACTTTCCCAAATCAAAGATTAACCAGGAAAAAATGGATGCTTCTAGAGAAAAACTATTGTTTGAGACATTTTAACATGTGACTAAGGTCCAGAACTGCTGTGGGATGTTCTGTATATGTGTTGCTCTGATTGGTTAATAAATAAAACACTGACTGGCCAGTAGCCAGGCAGGAAGTATAGGCGGGACAAGAAGAGAGGAGAATTCAGGGAAGTGGAAGGCTGAGGCAAAGAGCCGCTGCCGCCATGAAAAGCAAGATGTAAGGTACCAGTAAGCCACGAGCCACGTGGCAAGGTATAGACTAATAGATATGAGTTAATTTAAGATATAAGAACAGCTAGCAAGAAGCCTGCCATGGCCATACAGTTTATAAGCAATATAATTCTCTGTGTGTTTTACTTGGTTGGGTCTGAGCAGCTGGTGAGAGATTTGTCCTGACCGTGGGCCAGGCAGGACTGGAAAACTCTAGCTACACAGAACTACCTTTCAGATAGATAATCTATGTATCACATGTACCAAAAAGTGAAGAAGCTGCTGTTAAAGTAACATAAAATTTAAAAATGTAGTGTTCTGTGTATGTGTATAAAAGTGACTATGGCATATGTATGTAGGTGCTGGAGGTCAGAAAGTGGCATTGGGTCCCCTGGAGCTCTAGTTACAGGTGTTTATGAACCACCTGACATGGGGGCTGGGAACTGTATTTGGGTTCTATGGAAAACAGCAAGTGCTCTCAACTGCTGAATCATCTCTCCGGCTTCTTAAAACATAATTTGTGACCCAAAAATAAAATATATCATGAAAGAGCTTAAATTTCAAACTTATTTTTAGAATACATAACATTGTAAGAATGCAAAAAACATATGCCCTTCACGCTGAAAAATTTTCTTGATGGAATAAAAATAACAACAGAGAACAGGTTGTATCATTTTTATAGTTAAGATCAAGACAGAACACATAGAAACTCAATGGTAAAGATAAGCTTACAGCTGACTTCCTATCTTGGATAATAGGATTTTAGGATACAATAAGACCTGAGGAAGTTAGTTGAAGATATAACATTAATACACACCTTGTACAAAATATTCAAATTTGGGGGATTTCATTTCACAGAAAAATACCAAAAATTCTCTTCCAAAACAAGTATGTCAAAATACTTCATGTAGATTATTGACAAGTCATAGGACTCAATCTTTTCTGTACCTCTCAAGTATATATATATATATATATAAAAACACTTTCAGAGTGCCTTTATAAGTGACAACAATCCTTTAAAACTCAGTTGCCTTTTCAATTCTCAGTTGCCCATGATAAACTTCTGTCCAAAATATCGATGAAAAACTCCAAAAAGAAGTTCCTAACTTTTAAATGTATGCCATTTTGAGCAGCATGACAAAAACTTCAGTGTCCTGTTCAGAATATCAACAATCCTCTTCATTAAGTGTATCCGCACTGTATATACTACTTGCTTGTCATTCATTTAAGTAGACGTTTAGTTATCAGAATAAACGTCATGATTTTATAGCAGTTGTATACAGAATTTGGTATCATCTCCAGTTTCAGGCATCCACTGGGGGTCTTGACCCTATCCACAGCAGGTAAGAGGGAACTACTGTAGTAATACAAGCCTTTAAATTCTAGACATTTTACTGTTTTTGGTGCATCTTCTTACGCATTTCTTCAAGAGCTGCTTCTTTCTCTTTTAGAATCTGCTTAAGTCTTCTTATTTTCTCATCTCTGATAGTTTCTTCTAATTCTGGTGGTGTCACTAGAAAAATATCTTCAGTATAGTTTTTATTAAAATAATTACTTGGTTCAAAAGATGTACTTGAACTTAATGTGCCTTTTTCCTGTTTCTCATGGGAGTAGTGTTCTATCTCAGTTATCTTGTCTTCGTTGGTTGTGCTATGTCTTGTGACACTGTTTTGTTGTGTTATGTCTGATGCTGGTAAAGTACTAAGCAGTTGGGAATTGGTAACATCTGCTCCATTCATGACCGTGTTACCAGCTCTCTTAATTTTTCTCCTTTTTGTGTAATCCATCTTCTTAACAGTTTTTGCTTTTCTTTTCTTAGGAAAACTCTGCTGCAATGTTAAATAAGACAAAAAATAATGTTATTGCTATGCCACATGCTCTCAAATCAAATATCAAACAAACAGCAATTAAATTTGATTCTACAAATTTTACTGGGGATATAACTATAGTAAAAATTGGATGCTACTAAATGGCACCAAAATGAAATGTCACAATCATAGTCCTAGAAAACAAGCTAGTTTATTTACATGGTCTTGCTTAAATTGGGTATTAGAAGTCATCCTAACCTACCACTAAAATGAAACTACCCGAGAAAAACAATTGACTTCATTTTTCATTCATTTGCAAAGTAGGCACATGTAGAAACTTCTCCTTAAAAAGGTTTATCTGAAAAGGTTGAAGTTCACAATACTAGATTATAATGTATGTAAGCATAATTAACAGTATAGTGCATTACTGACTATATATGCTGCTTATGAATGTATTAAGTGTTAATACTTCAACGAATATCAGCATGCTCACATTTTCTTTTATATTTATTTCCTTTAGGTAATTCTTTAAAACAGGATAACTAGTTGAAAAACTTTTGACTATCTGTTACATTACAAAAGGAAAAAACCAGATGACTAAAAATACTTAGAACTCAAATTAGGGATATATTTTTATCTGTGTGTAAAATTCCTTTTGTCATTGTTTAGTATGAGATATTTGCAAATTTGGTAAAAAAAATCATCATTCAATCTATTGCACATTAAAAACCAGATAAAAGATAAATATAACTCTGTATCTTTGTCATACCTACAAAAATGTCATACAGTTTAAAAAAAATTACCTGTTTTATTTCTTCTTCCTTCAGCACAGAGTCTGCATCTTTGTAAGAACTACTCTTCATCAAACTGCTAAAGGAATCCAAACCTTTTCTAGAGCCCAGATGGTCAGGGATTCGAGTAAGACACACTCTCAAATCTTTAGTGAGACCAAATAGCTTTTTAAATTCAGCATCACTCTTCACATATGATGCCTTAGTGGTGCTTCCTTGAGAATACTTCTTATTTCTTTCTTGAGAATCTTTCTTTAACATTGATGCCATCTCATACTGAGTCTGGAATTAAGAGAAGAAAACACAAACAATATTGCTAATTACTCAGATTACTCTGTCAGACATGCAACTAAGCAATTAGCTATTCTCACACAAAAGAACAATTCATACTTTAAAAGATTTGCACTTCATTTATTTTTACCATGCATTCAAAAACTGAATTTAAATTTAATACAAACTTAAAATATCCATACAATTACTCACTTTATTGTACAGAAAAGTAACAAAGGTCTATTCTCAAGTAAATGAGGAGAGACTAGATATGACAACAACTTTAAAATAATCTGGGCCGGGCATGGTACCCTATAAATCCCAACACTCTGGAGGCAGAGGCAGGATGATGGTGAATTCAAGGCCAGCCTGAGTTACATATCGAGGCACTAAAAAACAAAATAAATCAAAACAAAAACTTTACATAACAACATGTGAAGAATGTGGTCTTCTGTAAGTTTAATGTTTCCAACCAATCTCATTTTAATTAGAATTTACCTCCTTAGTTTTTAAAATTCAGTGAGTTTTGTACTGAAGGGGACAGACACTAACATTACTAAGCAAGCAAGCACAGAAAAAGTGGCTACACATGTCCTAACCAGATAATGGTAGCAGATATGTTATAGAGTTAGAGGAGTCAGAAAGGGCTAAAGAGAAATACACATCTTTAAAAGGCCACCCCCGCCCCCGAAAAACAAAATTTATAGCTCGAACACTCAAAGATGTTGATAAAAATTATATTTGATGGAAAGGTTCTGACATCTTCTATTTCACCCATTTCATGATACTTTAAAAAAAAAAAAAAACCTATGGATTTTTTTCTCATGACTATAACCAAAAACAAAGCAAGAAAAAAATGTAAAGCTCTACCCTCAAGTTTCCACCTTTAAATCCTATCTCTTCTATGAAGTTTATTTTTTTATATACTAAACATAGGATATTAAGATTATATGCAGTATACACATGTATGCATAGTCACCCAATCTTACTAATCCTTGAAGACATATCACCCTCCAATTCTTCTGCACTTAGTTCTGCCTTACAGATTTGCCAAGCTAAATAATGAAAGAGGAAGATGCTGCTTAGACTCTATCAACTGTACTCCTCTAATATTTATTCAGATGAGAGTTTTAAGTAAGCACATGTGGGTGGGGTGTGTGTGTATGTAGGAGACAGCAATCAATTTTGATGATTAAGAAATATTTTCCACAGAGATATATAAAATGAACACCCTGACACAGGAAAATTACCTGTAATTCTTGGTCTCTGAAAACACACTGTTGTGAAGTAACAGTTGCTGCATCAACAGAGGAACGTATTTTCTCTATGCTCTGGATGAGATTTCCTTTTCTGGGGGCATTTTGTCCTGTCCTAAATCCATCTGGAAAGACTGGGTTTGTAAATACAGTCTTACTCTGTTTAAGGTAGATATTGGATTGGTTCATAGTATGTAGGTTTGTCATAGAAAAGGATGGTCTCTTCACTTTTTCCTTCTTCACTGCTTTTAGATTGGTCACGGAAGCAAGCTGGGTATTTGAAAGTGATTTTGTCTCCAACTGGAAAGATTTACTTTTAATCAAAGCACTATGTACCTCTTTGGATGTTTCTGTGCCTGGACTTGAACTTACTACCTGTGATGAATCTTTCCTTAGTGGAATATTCTGTTGGTCATTTTGTGATGGCAGACCACATTTCCCCTTTTTAGTCAACAGATAGACTTTCCCATTAAACATTACCAAAGCATTATCTTTAACAGGCACATTTGTGGGTTGTGTCCCATTAGAACTGACGGTATTCAACAGAGGTGTATTTACAGTATTATCTCCCATTTTTTTTCTACCTATAAGAGTTTTTAAAATCTTTGAAGCCACATTATTTGATGACTTAACAGGAACAAGGGACGGAATACCAGGCTGTAGACTCTCTTGAAAATTCCATTTCATCCGAGCAGCTTGAGAATGCTGACAACCTTTTAACTGTGTCTCTGTAGCAACATTCAGTGGAATTTTCATGGTATTTGATATCGTTGGTTTGGGGTAAATAGTCTGAAAGTTCTTGGTAACTCTATTTTTCACTGAATTTACAGGTGATACAAAAATAACTGTTGGTATTTGGGAGGGTTCAACTGTTCCTGAGGTACTTGTGGCTGCAGTTGCAAGTGTCTTTTGCTGTACTGAAGGAGAAAAGGTTGATGCAGGTGTAGATTTCACTTCAGCATGGGCTGGAATCTGTAAATGATGCCCAGAAGGCAAAACTGAAGAATTCACATTCACTGGAAAACTTGGGGTATTGACTACAAAGTAAGATGAATCATTTTGTGTTGAGGGAGGAATAGCAAATGTTTGCATGGTGAGTCCATCATTTTTCACACCATGACTCTCAACTTTAGAAACTGGTGGTGTAAAACTTCCAGTCCCCACAGAAGTAACTCTACCTTTTCCCGAGGCATCTACTGTTCCTGTAAAAAAATATTTTGTAGTAGTGGCTGGCTGGAAAATGGGCAATTGAACTGACGCACTTGTGGAAGAGCTGGAAATCTGAGTTTGAAAAGTAACTTGAACTGGTTTTCCTGTATCCCCTTTCAAAGCGTCAGATACCACTGGAGACTGAACTACTGGGGTAAGATTTCCAGAAGATTTAGTAATTGGAAGTAATTGCAGAAGATTTTTTCCATCCGTGCCAATCTTCTGAACTACTTGGTACATGCAGCCTGAAACACTTAAAAAAATATTTTGAGTAAATAAACACAACATACTACAAGTTATATACATTTTATTTAAAACAAGTATTTGCAATTACTTTAGGTACTAAAATTTAGTAACAGTATGTAATTTTAAGTTTGCAATGTAAAAGATAATGGAATAGACTTTGAAGAAAAGATAAAGATATAAGCAACTTTGATTCAGATGTCACAAGTAGGTTATGAAATCTTAACATTTATTTCAAAATGAAAAGCTTTCTAAAGTTGTACTCAAACACAGTGCTATTAGACAAGACTCTTCACAATATTATCATTCTCTTCTTTAATTTCTATTCTCTTCCTTTATTTTACCAAGCAGGACTGTTATTTCAACTCTAATTTTGCTACTTCTATCACTCTCCCACCTCCAATTTGTTCTATCTTCTTCCTTGACAAATTCTGCCAACTTTTTTCTCTTGTTTGAGATCTCTGATGTGGTGATATTTCAGTTTGTTGATTTAATGAACATACTCATGTAGAAACCATTTCCTTCTTGGATTATTGTTTCCATGTATGTGAGGTACATGCTCCACAGCCCTTGAAAACAACAATTATTTCTAATACTTTTACTATAAAACAATCTGAACATAGTATCATGGAAATTTTGGTTGAGAGGTTTTCCATAAAGGGATAGCATACTTGAGAGGAATATATTTTTTAGATTAGTCCATTGCAATCTTCATTCTTATGAGCTGTTATTTAAATTCAAATTGTCAGGTTTATACAAAGCCAAGATACATTCTCTGCATAATCCATTTGGAGGTTACTTATCAAATTATATTTAAAACCACCTTTCAGATCCTAGAAAGTATAGTGCTCTCATGTAATGAGAGGCAATCACATTCCTCTACCCAGGTACTTCTCTCCTATACAACTCTACTTGAAGCTTAAGTCTCAGCATAACTGATACTTCCTAAGAGACACATTCTCTAGCCAACTTAACTATCCTTATCCTTCCTTCATAATAAACATTGCAGTTAATTTCCTTCATGCTACATATTCTTATCATATACCTATGTTTATATCTACAGATGATTTTTCATGCTAAGGTCTAAAAACGTAAACCATGAAGTCCACAAATTGATATGTTCTTAGATGACTAAGAATAAATGAAGAAAACCTTAAAGACACACATTAATTCTTAAAGTGTAAAGGTCTATTTTACAACCTACAGGTGTGATTTTAAAATCAAGTATAAATGAAAAAACCACACCCAAAATTCTATGTATCCTCACTACAACTGAAACATGTTATCCTCGAAAGTTTTGAAACAGAATTCTGTGTATGAAAACTTATACTAACTTTTAGTAAGTTTAGAGAAATATAAACACAAGGAGAAGTCTCAGTTCTTGCTTTCAGGGTTTTAAAGACCCACCTGCACTATCTCTGCAAAAAGTACATTGTAAGCACAACATGAATTTATTCAACATTAAATGAAAATGTACTCAATGAGAGATGAGCATGGTGTCTCATTCATGGAATCTTAACACTTAGGGGGTGGAGGAGATTGAAGGTGAACCTGAGCAAGAGAACAACACCAAGTCTCAAAACCAACTAATGAAGTACCGAGTTTTATGGTTCAAACACCAGGCTTTGTTAGCGAAAATGGGTCAGGCTAAACCTGATCCATTCTGGTTTTATGTTAACTCACAGGCATGTAGTTTTCAGACTTTAAAAGGATGAAAAACACTTCAAAAAGGAATTCTGTACCAAGTTCTGTTAGGAGATTAAACTGCAGTATCCAAAATATAAAGTTTGATTATCACACAGTGGCTGCTGAGCTGCAATAGAGCTAAGTAGTTCCAAGAGAGACTAAATGGTTCTCAAAGTCTAAATATTTACTATCAGAACTCATAAACGATGTAGTTACTGAATCCCCCACTAAAACCAGGTATATAAACACAGACAGGTAATTATCATGAAATAAGATAAGTGATATATTTGAAGAAATAAAGAAGTGCTTGCACCTGAACCTTTTCCTAAAAATATTCTCATTCGAAGACTTTCAACCATCTTTGACAACTCATCCTAGCTAGAGAATATTAGTCTTTTTACTCTGTACTCTTTTCCACATATATATCAATAAAAAATTTTGTATCTGTAGGGATACAAGATATATATCCAAACTCTCCCTGGACATTTTACTCAGAATCTTGTGGGCTCCTGAAACTCAAAATGGCCAGAATGTCTGTCTTCCTTTCCATACTCTCATAATTCCTTAGGGGCCTGTGTCGGAGTACATAAATCCTGTTTTCTGACCCTGCTGTAGTGAATCCACTATTAAAAAAAAATCCTGTTGACATTAATGAAATTTTCCTTATCATTAAATTCATTCCTAAAATTCTACTAAAACTTCATTCTCAATGACACCTTTTTTTTTTGGTTTTGGTTTTGAAGAGAGGGTTTCTCGTGTAGCCCTGAATGTCCTGGAGCTCACTCTGTAGACCAGGCTGGCCTGAGAACTCACAGAGATCTGTCTGCCTCTGCCTCCAAGTGCTTGGATTAAATGTGTGGTATCACCGCAGCCTGGTGCAAATGACACTCTTACTATACCACATGAAGCTTTACCTCATGAAGCTTTTCTCTTTCATGGTTCCTACTGTGTATAATATGTTCTCTTGACTTTCTTAATGTCTCCTTATTAATGTTCCTGTATTTTAAGTATTCATCCTCGATTATTCCCCCAAATATTGTTATTGCCCTATTCATTTTTAACACCATTTTTCTCCTTCAAGGTATTTTCCCCTTAAAGATTGAACTCATTTTCATGGCTTCAACTACTTCCCTCAATCATCTCCTTTGCAATAATGACTATTATAGTTATATATTTTTACTCCTAGCCCCACTATTAATCCTCACCCTTTTTTGTGGTCTTTTATCAAACATTTTAATTTAAATATCATCATTTAAAATCCAACAAGGTAAAATTAATCTCTATTAAAACTAGTACTATAGTCTACTTTCCAATCATGGAAGAGTGCTGATTGCAAGCTCACATAGATTAATTACCTAGTTAGCTTTGACTTATTATCCTTCGTATAAATTTTTAATTCATAGCACCATGAATACATGGTTATAAAAGATAAACAGCTAAGAAACATATCCTAAAATGAATGAAACATCCAGATTATAAAGTTTTCATTCTTTTACTAGGTCTTTCCCATTTTGTTTCCACTTCTTTCTTACTAGAATATCTAATATCTCAATTAGCTCCCACCATCTTGTGGCTCGAATTCTTCATCTCATCCCTGTATTCTGCTCTGGTGTTTAGCCTTTCTGATTCTAACTGCTGCAGACTAGCATGTAGCTATGTAAGATTAATGCTGGTTTTAAAATGCTGCTTCATACTCAGTTTTAAATTAATATTCATCATTGCCAATCCAGTTTGCAAAAAAAAAAAAGAAAGAAAGAAAACTATAATCAATAGCTACACCATTAACTGTAACTTCTCTACATGAAATCTCTGCTCTTACCAAAGAAACTCCTTTATGTCATGTACATTATTTAACCAAGTATTCTTTGGTCCATCACAACAACATAAAATGAAGTTCTAATTCTAGCTCTTCCATAAAATATCTGACAGTCATACCAACTCAACTTTTGTTAGCTTTGGACTATAAAGCATTATTGATATTATTCCAATTAATATTGGAATATAATGCCTTTAATACTACCTACTTTAAAAAAAGGAATTAAATATTGCTTTTCATAGTAACACTGAAATTCCTTAAGATGAGAAACTCAATAATTCTACAATTATTTTTCAAACACCAGGAATAGTAAACCCTCAAAAATATATACAAAAAAAAATCCAGCGTAGTTCTTTCCAATTGCCAATCCAAGAAAACTAGTTCAATACTTGTGTAATATTTGATGTAAATATATTTCATTTATTAGAAAAATATGCCTAACAAACCAGAAGCTTCAACAGAAATAACCTATATTTTATAATTATTTGTATTAATACAGAGCAAGTATACTTCAAATGGCATGTAACTGAACAAATTACACTTTTAATGTCTCACATGTTATATTATAGGCTAAACAGTTTCCATATTCTTGCTTTTCAAAGAAATACACTTTATATAGTACATTTTATATATCTGTCTACCTATATTTACAACTGCCACTTCCTGCCAAAGCAACAGAAAAAAAAATGCAGCTTCTTTCAAGTCTACATATCATTAGAAAATACATAACCTACCACAGACTGTAAATTCTTGAAGGATGGATTATCCTATTCATAGCTCCACTGTGCCCAATAGAGCAAATTAACAGGCTAGCTAAATTGATTCCTACAAGCTATTGAAAATGATTTGATTTACTGACAAATGAGTTCTTAAAACTCAAATGCAGACTTCTAAAGAGAAAAGTAATAAATTGAATAAAATTCATACATACTCTTTCAACTGATATACATGGTTTCCAGCGTTAGTAGGAATCTCCAATTTATTTAATAGTTTAACCAAAATCACACTCAGACTCCACTTTCTTTAAAATATTCCATTTTCTTAGAGATCACATTCTGTGGCCTAATGTTGTCACTAAAACTAGAAACAAGATTCTTCATCCCATAATCCAATTTGGACACTCAGAATTATTAGTGCACCAGCTACATTAAACCAGCTGGTATTTGAACCGAGAAACTATACTGAAAAACAAAACAAAACAAGACAAAAAACACTAAATTTTAAGACTTAAAAGAGAAAAAAGAAATACATTAGAAAGATTACTTCTAATTCTGGCTCTTCTACTTACTGGCTAACTGATTTTAGAAAACCTACTTAACTATAGCAGCACACGTCTATAGTTCCAGCTAACTTCGGGGTCCGAAGTAGGTGTGGACATGAGTCTTGGTATTCAAGACAGTCAGGTCAACACAGTGATAGCCAATCTCAAAATTAAAAAGTCTTGCTAAATGTGCTAACAAAACTATGTAATCTTTGAAATTTTATTATTTTTTATTTTATTTTTTTTTACTATTCTAATATGGATATGCATCATTCATGTATTAGAAATGGAATGATGAACACCATGGAACATATCATAATTTTGAAAATAATGTATTTTTCAGCTGTTAGGAGACCATTTCCCTTCCCATTCTACTCTAAAGTTGTGAAGATAAAACTTCACAACTAAAGGCTTCAAGCAGCAATGAGACATTTTCTTTCCAATGGAACCAAGCCACATTCCGACAGTAGTAATTCTAACTGGGCATTTGTGTGTTTGTCTTATCTAATTCCAAATACTGACCAGAAAACTGGCATAACATCTTGAAAGAGATGGTAATTTGCTGATCAGGTCTGCCTATTTTCCATTCCACTTCTTTAAATCTAGTCTGTATTCTCTACCACTGAATCCAGGCCCTCAGTATTTCTCAAAAATCACCTGAAATCTAATCCTTAATCCAAATCAGCACTGTCATTAGTTATCCAAACTTCACACCTAATTACATCAATCCTAATCTTAAAAATTCCTGACCAATCAATCTCCAGAAGATGAAGTAATTGCCAGACTGAAGCAACCCTTAGGAGCTATTTTCCCACCTGTGGTATACAAGTGAGTAAGTTCTCAGTGCAAACCTGAATAAGATGGATACTACTGCACAAATATCCAGATTTTGCTCTGCACTCATAAAATCGAGTTTCCTATTTTTATGCCCAGTTGAATCAGATAAATTAAATAAACGTCCTTTATCACAATACTGAATTTTCATTAAAAGAATAGTAACTCAAGAAAACTTCAAACATCTACAGAAAAGAAAATCCTATCAATTTTACAAGGAAAACAAATAGTGTATATATATATATAGTATATATATATATATATAATATTCCAATAAAACAAAGAAGCAACATTAATCAAATTATTTACATAATTATATTTCAACATCAGGCATGTTATTATTAAAACAAAGTATAATCTAATATGTAACCAGTAAGGAAAGTGTCAAACACCTCAGGAAACCATCTGGTGGTAAATGCCCCAAATATGTTATAATATGTTATGATAATATTAGACAATTTAAAGAAATAAAAGCATGTAAGTATAACAAAGCAGCAACACATAAACCAATGAATTAATGAATTTGAAATGACTTTTATGAAAGTAACCAAAACATAATCGAATTTAAAATGTTCTTCAGAGTTCAAAATTTGCCAAATTAGTAACTGTTTAAAAGAGAATCCCAGTGCTCCAAAACTTCTATGTATCACTTAATCTTACTCCTAGAATTGAAGAAGAATGCTGTCTTAAAAACCTGCTATAAGCTATATAGTACATCAGGTATCACAAATATACAGGCACTAAAATATAGGAAAAATTATTTATTAAAAAGTAAAGTAGTTCTACCTTTGCCTATAGCATACAATGTTCCCAAATTTCCACAAAATATACATACTACCAAAGAGCTGCCTCTTAATAATATATAATGGTTCTTCAATATCAACAGCTCACTATTTACTATTTATGACTTTTTTTTTTGTACCTACATAGTAGTAACTTCCTATAGACCCAGTTACTGGGAAGACTGAGGCAAGATGACCACTTGTTTTTCAACCCAGGGATTTAAGGGAAAATTGATTAAAAACAAACTAAAAAAATCCATTGTTTTTTCATAGCAATTAGGATTTGTATCTACCTGTAACTAAAAGAAATCTACTTCAGACTAAAAACGGGACACAAAGTTATATTCTTATAATAGTAGCAAATATTAAAGTAATCCTCTATTTCTTTTTTACACTATTTCTTGTTTCTTCCTTTTCTGTTATCAAAATATTCTTAGGCGCTATTATTCTGGTCAGAGAGTGGCGCATTAGTCTCATAAATACTAATATATAATAACGAACAAAGCTGCAATAAACACCAGGCAGTCTTTTTCTTCAACTGCAAATCCCCTTTCATGAGTTTTGCTCTTAGATTTCATGCTGTTCATTTACCTTCTTAGCGACATTTACTAATTTTTGCTTCTCACCATGATTCTCAACAACCATGGAAGTCATAAATTAAAACATTTTTCCTAAAGAACATTTTGTTGTTCTCGCATTTATTTCACCTGAATTAACACAAACTTAAAAAGTTAATGGTGGTCTGTTTTTTAGCCAGAGAAGTCTGTCGCAGCCTGTAATCCTAACACTAGGCAAGCCCAGGCTGGACTGAGGACAGCCTCTGCTATATAGTTTCCTATCCAGCCAGAGCCACAAAGATAGCGTAGGAAATAATCAGCCAAACTTTCCCTTGTGGAGACAACCAATGAGATGCACTCCCTTTACACCAGTTTCAAATGCGCTGCCTGGAAAAGCTGGCTTAACGTTTAAACTTTTCACTCTTCTCCATATTAGTTGAATTTTTTCAAATTCTAAAGTCCCTTCTTCTAGAACAACGTTCTCTAAGTACATTAAAACGTGACTATTTCACTTGAAGGTCCAGCGCCCCAGGGCTGCATTTGCTAATCCAAATTGTGTGTTTTTGCTGCCTGTGCTTGAGATTCTTCCAGAAGGATTCTGAACACCTGGAACGTCGCCATGTTGCTTTTCTTCCGTGGGTATCTACTCCGTCCGCCTATGAAATTCAAGCCGCTGGCGTCCTGCGCGCCTGAGTCCGCGAGAGGCTAACTGCGTCACCATCTGAGGGCGTTTTGTGTTTCCTGGAGGAATGTGCGCCCGGAGCTCTGGAGCGCCAGGGTGAAGGCACTGCGCTCGCCCGGCCCCGCAGCTACCCCCGCTGTGTGGCTGAACGTCAGCCAAGGCGGCCCTCTGACATCCTAAGACACAGGGTGCGGGCGGGCGCGTGAAGGGCTGGGAACTGGTACTTACCAATGCGAGCCTGAGCCTGAATTTTCCTCTGCCGTTTTCAGAAAGGCGTTCTGGAGACTATTAGACATTTTAGACGGGTGGGAGGGGACAGGGCAGGGAGGAGTGTGGGGACAGGGTCCCCAACCCAGGCGCGAACCAGAGAGTGTGTGGGACCGCAGCCACTGAGGGGCGTGCTGCGGGCGGCAAGGTGCGTGACCGAAGGCACTGAAAAGGGCTGCCTTCCCGGCTTCGGAGGGAAGTGGCTGTGGACGCCGGAAGACACAATACGGCGACCGCGCCCTCCCAGATGCAGGCAGGTTCAGACCAGTCTCTGGGCCACGTGACACGTCAGAGCCAGTCAGAGCGGACGCGGGGGGCGGGCCATCGATGGCACCGCCCCCCGCACTGCCGCCGCGGAGAAGACAGCGAAGGCGGGGCGCTGGGGACCGCGCCCAACGGAGCGGGCAGCTAGAGCGAGCGAGCGAACCTCTGCCCCGACCTACTGCTTTGTCACGTACGGTTACCAAGGAGAATGGATCGCTGTGGCCCCGCCCTTATGACGTGGCCCAATCGCCAGCGAAGGTTGATGTCTCTTCTTCCGGATCAAAGGAGGAATCAAAAGAGAAAGTTCTGTCGCTGCCTACGCGAAATAAAATATTTCCGGGGTCAGTTGTAGATCGACTGTTCTTGTGCGTGCACTTTTGCATGCCAAAGGCGTCTCACGTCTTCCTTTGCTGCTTGCTTCAGTAGACATGGGCAGGCATTTGGTAGTTGCCACAAATTATTGAGAAGCTTTCTATACCTTCCCGTGGCTAGAATTTATTGTCTTTTTTTATTTTGAGTTTCTTTTTTCTTTCTGTTTCTTGAAGTTTTGCCTCCGGATTATTCTGTTAACCATTTCCTCCATGCCCACACTCATGTCTCAGTTAAAACTGTATTTTACTGTCGTATATTTGATTCTTCAAGTCTCTGTATGTTTGTATCTTTGAAACGCTTGTTTAAATTTTCCGAGAATAGCGCTCAGAAATCTCTAAAATCGTGCAATTAAGCGACTATTGTGCAATCACTTCGGATCACACTGATTAATGGGTAGAAGAAATTCTTGTTCGATTCAATTAGGTGTAATGTTGTGAAAGTGGTTTCGAAGATACAATTTTATTTGGTATACACAATATTGTATGCTCCGCTGTTCAAATTAAGGACACTTAAAAGGTAGACAATTTGGAGGTTCACATAGTTATTTTAAAATGGAATTACTTACCAGGCTTAGTGACATTCACATGTAATCCCAACACTTGGAAGGTTGAAGAAGGAGGATATGGAGTTTAAGGTCATCCTTGGCTACTCAGCAAATAGAAGACTAGTGTGTACTACATGAAAATGTCTCACAAAAAGGAAAGAAAGAAGAAAGGAGGAAGGGGTTTACTCATTTCCCTAATTGCTAAATGTAGTGGATATTTAAGAATTTCATGCCTTGATGTTAACAGAAAGTGGTATTTTCCAACTTCTGAATAACACATTTATTTTTCAATAAAATACCTCCCGTACTAAGGACAGAAAAGAAAGTGGGCAGCCCTTAATGCTCTCTTGCTTCTGGCCATCTTTTGTTTATGAAGTCAAACTTTTAAAAACTAACCCTTTGCCAGGCATCGTTTTGTCCAGCACTGAGAAAGAAAAAGCAGGTAGATCTCTGAATTTGAAGTCAGCCTGGTCTCCATTGTGAGTTCCAGGTTAGCCAGAGCTACACAATATGACCCTATTTTAAAAGGTTGGGCTATCCAGACTTTGGAAGGCAGGAAGTTTCTGTGAAAGGAAAGGAGAAAATTTGGCAGGGGGTGGGGGGGTAAGGGAGGGAAGAGAGGGAGGGAGAGAGAGAAAGAGGAGGGACATTGGGCTGAGATGTAGAATCTCAAAAAAGTCTTATCTCAGTCCAAATCTGAAATAGTCTTCAAAGTTTTTCCCATGGTGTTGGTCGACATGAGGCTTTATATCCATGATAATCAGTTACTGCACCTATGCTGTGACCAAAAGAGAACTAGGGTTCCATACCCACGTGTAAGAAGGAATTCTGTAATCAAGAGGCTGATTGCTGAGGCATGTCTATTGGCAACAGTACAAGCAGCTAGAATAAAAAAGACCATGATCATATCTGAAGAAAATTTTAGGAGCTGGATCACAGCATCTCATGTGCTCATTAAACAACTCATGCAACCATTTATAGCAATTAATGCTGTATATCTCACACTTAACATCTTTAGTCAGCAACACTATTAATTATTCTTTCACTCTTGATGTCTTGGCAATATACTTCAGTGTGTTTCTTCCTACCTTTCGATCTACCCAGTGTGCCATGAAGGTCCATTCCTGTATTTATTAAATAAGTGAATTCTCATTCACTGTTCCTCTTATTTTCACAAACTGTTTCTCTTCAGCTGATTATATCCCAGCTCATGATTTTAATTACTACCTCCAACCCATTATTATGCTACAAAATGCATACATAATAACATGTTCCAGGCATTGTTCAGTGCTTTATAAATAGATACTCATTTGCTCCTAAAAGCTAGTAAAAATATTATACTGAAATGAAGAAACTAGCCATATGTCAGGCAAATACTCTCTGGAAGTCACATAGTTGGTGACTGGTGGAGTTAAGTTCCAAATTCAGGTTGTTTGTTGGAAGATTCTACATATCTTGTTCCTAACTTACAGATCTCTATCTTGTTTTTAGTTCTCATCAGATTTTGATGTAGCTGGATTTTCATGAGCACTGTTGAGATCTATTGCATACTATAAAATCATCTTGAAAGGAAATATGTTAAAAATCAAACCTTTTTTTTACTACAATTTCATTTTTGTTTCATCACAAGATAGCAGAAGTTACTGAAAGACAGTGAATTCTAACAGGATAACAGATTATATTTGAAAGCAGGACACATCCTTTTGCTGTATCCAAGAAACACACCTTAACATCAAAGATAGACATCAATCACCTTAGGGTAAAAAATATTTAAAAAAATGGACCTAAGAAGCAAATTGGAGTATGCATTTTAATATTCGACAAAATAGACTTTAAACCAAAGCTCATCAGAAGAGATAGGGAAGGATACTACATACTCATCAAAGGAAAAACTCCACCAAGATGACATTGCAATTCTAAACAATTATGCACCAAACACAAGGGCACCTAAGTCCATAACAGAAACACCACTATAGCAAAAATCAAGTATTGTCCCTCACACAGTGATAGTGGGTGACTTAAGTACTCAACTCACACCAATAGAAAGCTCATCCAAATTAAATTGAAACAAAGAAACATCGAAGATAAATTACATCATTAGTCAAATGGAACTAATAGATATTTACAAAATATTTCACCTAAACATAAAAGATAATACCTTCTCGGCAGTTCATGGAACTTTCTCCAAAAATGAACCACATACCAAGACACAATGCAAGCCTCAACAGATACAAGAACATTGAAATAACAACCTGCATCCTATCTGACACCACAAATTAATGATGGATATCAACAACAAGAGAAACAACAGAATGCTTACAAACACATGAAAACAGAAAAATTCACTACTGAATGAAAAAAAGTGGGAACCCCAGTGGACCTATCCTGGTCAGGTTCAGGCTGCATCAGTCAGAAGAATAGATGAGTGACTTACCTGCCCATAGAACTGTATCACTCCCTAGTGTCTGTTCTCAAAGACCAATCCCACAACCTTGCCTTTCCAGCCCATTGCCTGATCTGTTGCTGGGCTCTACTCCCAACCCCAGTAGCTTATAATCACAAGAACAGGTGTAGGCAGAGGAACAGCCCTTTACCCCAACTTCAAATTTCAGCTGCACAGATGCAGACCACATCAGTTAGAAGAATAGGTGCAGGCCACACCAAGCAGAAGAACAGAGACCCCCTATGCTGTACCAAAGACCAAGCTAATTGCCAGAAGGCAAGCTCCCAACTTGGACAGAGACTCCCTACTAGATCAGAGGTCATTCCAGCTGTCAGAAATCCAGACCACAAACTCTAGAAAAATAAGAGTGAACAGAAACCATGGAACAAAACACCCATTCAACAAAGACAAACTCAGAAATCAGGAACTAGAGCTAATCATTCCAAACACAGATGCCTAAATGCCAATGTAGGAATGCAACCAACAATAGCCAAGGAAATATCACACCACCAGAGCTCAGCTATCCTATGACAGCAAGATCTGAATATTCCAACACAGCTGAATTACAAGAAAATGACATTCAAAACAACTTTATGAAGATGATAGAGGTATGTAAAGAAATGAAAAAACTCCCTTAAAGAAATCAAGGAAAAGACAGTCAAAACTTTGGAAAAAAATCAACAAATCACTTAAAGAATACCAGAAAAGGAGAGAGAGAGAGAGAGAGAGAGAGAGAGAGAGAGAGAGAGAGAGAGAGAGAGAATGAGAATGAATAAGGGAAGGAAACCTGAAAATTGAAATAGAAGAAATAAAATACAAACTGAGGGAATTCAGGAAATGGAAAATCTGGGAAAGCAAACAGGAACTACAGATACAAGCATCACCAACAGAATACAAGAGATGGAAGAGAGAATCCCAGGTGTTGAAGATATGATAGAAGAAATAGATTGATTGGTCAAAGAAAATGTTAAATCTAAAAGATCCCTAACATAAAACCCTTGGCAAATCTGAGACACCATGAGAATAATAATAGGAATAGAAGAAGGAGAAGAATCTCAGCTCAAAAACACAGAAAATACATTGAATAAAATCATAGAAGAAAATTTCCCTAACCTAAAGAAGGACATGCCTATAAAGGTATAAGAAGCTTACAGAACACAAGATAGATTGGATCAGAAAGAAAGTCCCTAGGTCACATAATAATCAAAACACTGAACATACAGAACAAAGAAAGAATATTAAAAGCTGCAAGGGAAATGGCCGAGTAACATATCAAGGCAGAATTATACTCAAATTTTCAATGGAGACTCTAAAAGCCAGAGGGGCCCAGACAGATGTCTTGGATTCTCCAAGAGACCATGGATGCCAAACCAGACTACTATAGCCAGAAAAACTGTCAATCACCATAGATGAAGAAAACAAGATATTTCATGACAAAGTCAAATTTAAACAATATACATCTACAAATGTAGCTCTACAGAAGGTACTAGAAGGAAAACTCCAACCCACAAAAACACAGGTAATGGGTAATCCCACACCCACTGAACCCAAACAAGGGAAATACACCACACTACACACACACACACACACACACACACACACACACACACACACTACCAACAACAACAATAAAATAACAAGAATTAACAATTACTGGTCATTAATCATTAATATCTTTCAATATCAATGGACTAAATTCACCAATAAAAAGGCACAGAATAATAAAATGGATACGAAAACAGGATCCCTCCTTCTGCTGCATACAAAAAACACCTCAACATCAAAGACAGATATTACCTCAAAGTAAAGGGTTGGAAAAAGAT